CGGGGCGGCTAGGCGATGGGGCGGCTAGGTGACTGGCCGACGTGGGGACTACGCTAGGGGCGACGAGGCCATGGGGCCAGCAGGACGGCTAGGCGCAAGGCGACGAGGCGACAAGGCCACGGGGCCGTTAGGCGTCATGTGACGAGACGACGGGGCCACGGGCTGCAAGGCGCTAGGTGACGGGGCCGCAGGGCCAGCGGGGCAGCTAGGTGCTAGGTGACAGGGCCACCGGGCCATGGGCGGCTAGGCGCTAGGTGATGGGGCCGCAAGGCCAGCGGGGCGGCTAGGCGCTAGGTGACGGGGCCGCTGGGCCACGGGCGGCTAGGCGCTAGGTAACGGGGCCGCGGGGCCAGCGGGGCGGCTAGGCGCTAGGGAACGGGGCCGCGGGGCCAGCAGGCGCTAGGAGACGGGGCCAATGGGCCAGCTAGGCGACAGGGCAGTGGGGCCAGCGGGGCGGCTAGGACCTAAGGCGGAAGTGCAGGTGGGGTGGGGACCTAACCTTCTCATGATACCATCTCAAAGTTAGAATGATTTACTAGAATGGGAGCATACAGAGGTATATAGCTAATGGGTTGTACTCTCTATGGCATGACACTATGTAGTCAACTAAACATGCACACATATGTTTGACAGTTTATACGGGGGGGAAATTACTCCCGCGGACTGTCCACAAAATCTTTCATACTTTCGTGGACAGGCCCTACTTTCATGGACTGCACATCAAACTTTTGCTTCTCCTGTGGACTCGGTCCATACTTTCATGGACAACGGGCATACTTCCATGGAAAGTCGCGAAATTGCAGTAAAAAAACGTAATCAGAATTGTACATGTTGTGACGGGCGGAAAAATTGATTGAAAATAGAAACAGAGTGCGTCTCAAACCGTCGTGAGCTACAGTGCCTCCATACCAAATCGGAAGCAGAATGCCGCAATCATGGAAGTGGCAGCTACGATTTCTCAAACATTAAAGGCGGGTACACTACTGCGCTTGAGAAATACATGTTAAAGTAAGCTAGGAACTAGGTAGGAGGGAAGCCATAGAAATGGCGAGAGGTTTTAGGCTAGTAAAGTTGAGGAGAGAAAAAAGGTTGAGAATAGAAGAGAGAGACATACAAGGAGGGGGGTTGTACCCTCTACAGTAGGTTTCAGTAACACCTACCAAGCCTACCAATTGTATAACAAAATATATTATTTAACACACCCCCTAGGCTTGGTAGTACAAGAACCCACACACACCCATACCCCCTAATCTAGCACCCCCCATGCCCAGTAGTAGCCGCGATGACTCCGGAATCGGTCAACACCCACGGCCCGGGAGATGCCAATGGCGGCAGTCACGGCAGTGACGAGAGTGACGGCAGCGGCGGCGTGCGGCGGCAACAGGCCAGCGGCAACAGCGGTGGCGGCGGCGGCTTCAACGTCAGAGGCAAGTGCAGCGACCCCCGCCCTCTCGGCGGCATGGCCAATCTCATTTGCTGTGGAGAAGGCCCTCACGAGGCTGTCGACGGCTGTGGCAAGGAAGAGGGGACGCAGGGGAAGGAGGGGGTTGGGGGGGGGGGGGGGGCGGAGCGTGGTCCAGAATCACACCCGTGGCAGGCGAGTGGGCGGCAGGTCTAGCAGCGCCACAGGCGTTGCACGGCAAGCTACCGCCCGACGGCGCCGCCACCGCAGCGTTACGACGCTGCCACAGTGCGACGTCGATGCCACGGCGGGACTTCGACGCCACGACAGTGCGACGCCAAGGCAGCGCGTCTAGACGGCCGCGGCACGACGCGGTCAGCGGCACGACGACGCCGCGACAGCAGCACGACACGGCCGCCATGGCAGCGTGAGAGGAAGAGGAGGAGTGCGCGGCGGAAGCATAGGGAGCAGGCCCGTAAAGGGCGACCTGCTCTGATACCATGTTAAAGTAAGCTAGGATCTAGGTAGGAGGGAAGCCATAGAAATGGCGAGAGGTTTCAAGCTAGGAAATTTGAGGAGAGAAAAGAGGTCGTGAATAGAAGAGAGAGGCATACAAGGAGGGGGGTTGTACCCTCTACAATAGGTTGCAATAATACCTACCAAGCCTACCAATTATATAACAAAATATATAATTTAACAATACAGTCATGCATGCACCAGGGCTATCGTTATCAGGGTATTTCACCCTGATTCCTTGATTTCACAGGGCATTTTTTTTGCCAACCCTTAATTTTCAGGGTTTGGCGCTTTTGAACCCGAGTCCCTTCAGGGTTGTACGTTTTTTAACACTGGATTTCAGGGTTTGCGTTATGCCAATACTGAGTTTTCACTGAGAAACGCGCACGAACCCTGAATGCAACATCCATGCCATCCTTGACCCTTCTGCAAAATTCCCCCTACACGTGACTGGTCTCCCCACACACCCAACAACTCACAAAAAATCGACGAAGTCTTTTTTTTCAGACATCCCCCACACACACCAACAACCTAAAAAATCGGCCAAGTCCTCTAGGACAGGCACTCTCCCTGCACACCCAACAACCCACAAAACCTGGGTAAGTCCTAATAGCTTAAGACAGGACGAACGAAAAATGGGTTAAGTATATTGTACAGACATTCCCACTCTCAGTCCTCAACGTCACCCTTTATACCCCCAACAAACCCATACCTATTTTCTAAGAGCAGTCGCTCCTTTTAATGGAGTTTTTGCCAGTTTCCCGTGTGGTCATCTAAAAGTCAATCAAAATCGGACGGCCACGATAGATTGCGATCGTTTCGACAATTATCAGCCGTTCCATGGTTGCCAGTCATAAACGTCCTAGATTTCCTTAGTCATTTGAATCACGCCCATGACGGTGGAAGGGAGCGGGGTCCCTCCCACAGAGGGCGCTGCAAGCACGAGAAGTTTCTCCCACCACCCCATTTGCCAGCTTCCCCCCCTCCCTTCCGTTTCGATCCTCCCCTCCCTCTCTGTTTTGCTTCCCCCCTCCCCTCCGTTTTGATTCCCTTTCCCCTCCGTTTCGCTTTCCCCCTCCCCTCGGTTTTGATTCCCTCCCCTTTTCCCACTCGAATTCGATTCCCCCCTCCCGTCCTTTTTTATTTCCTCTCCCTCAATTGAGCTGTGGGAGGCCATCTGATTTTTGAGCAACAGTATTTTCACTTAGCCTGGGAAATCTAAAAGAATACAACCCGCCCGCCAGAAGTAGCAAAGGAGAAAATATCGTGACTGTTGGAGATGATGCGGCAATTTGAGAATGGCTACGGCGGTTGCTAAATCGAATCCTGATTGGGTTCTGTGAACCCTGAGAATTTCAGGGTTTCATATTTCTGAATATTGACAAATCAGGGTAGGCATTTTTGGAAAACAGACCCCCCAGGATAAATTTTTCTTTTTAGTCGACAGATCAAGGGGAGTTTTTTTTTTTAAACGTCAGCCCTGGCATGCATGCTTCCCGGCGGAAAATGGGTGTTTGAACACTAACTATTCCACAAGAGCCTCCATCATACACACACTGTTTAGATTTCGTAGTTCATGTATTTCCATTCATTTTTTTAAAACTTTATAAATATTAAATGGGTTTCTGATAGTGTTTTATTCTCCTTCCAACATAAATTCCCATTCAAAGTCATTATTTAATACCGTTATTGAGGCACATGGCATACAATGGATTTTTAGAGAAAACGCCAGATCAAATAGTATATGTATTGGTTGTAATACATATTTATTCACGGGATCATTAATCTCATTACATATAAAAGTTTTGAAATGGACTATACGGATATTTTTTCAAGGGCTTTCATTACGATTAATTCGAAAGCTATATATATTTTCTTTATGTTAATAGATTGGATTTCATGTGAGGTGTTGTTATCTGGTTTAATGACGAGGTTTAGACCACTGCTGCTGATATACCCTGGTGTCGACCATAGCCCATATGTTACAGTCTCTGAAATGGATTTTGAGCGTCACTGCAAGAAATCATAGATTTACGCGAAACAACTTTATGACCCTTTGCGACGATCCTGATTTTGGCACTTTTGTTTTTCCGCTCGTCACAACTATTAAGACTAGAAATAATAGAAGAAGGGAGAACAGGGGAGATATAGCGTTTGGGTTGTACCCACTAAGAACATACCCTATCTAGCCTATAACTTCTACATAAAAATATATGTATAAGTTGACACACCCCCTAGGCTAGATAAGGGCCAGTGCGGAGCAAGAAGCACGCAGCTCAGGGTGGCACTACTAGTCCAACCTCTAAGACAGGGGTCCGAAGACCAGTCAGCAAGAGTACAAAAAAGACAGGAGCAAACCAGGGCGGCACTACTACTCCGGCCACTGGAAGAAAAGCCACAAGGCCAGTCTGAAAGATATAATATAAGAGGCGAACACAATCAAGGTCCTAGCAAGTGAGAGTCTACAGGAACTAGACCAAGCTGCAAACAGTGCCGCTGATGATCTCTAGGCGCAAGCGCCTTAGTAAAGATATCAGCTGTGTTGGCACTGGAGGCCAAGTATACTACGCGGGCCTGGCGGCGCTGCTGAACCTCGCGCAGGAGGAAGTACCACAGCTGGATGTGCTTCGCTCTGCCCTCGAGTCTGGGCTCCTGACATAGGAGGATCATGGACCTGTTGTCAGCAACCCACCAGCTCTGCGTAAGGACCACTGAAATATGCTGAATCCTCGGGAACAGGAGCTGAGAGCCTATGGTCTACCGGCAGAGGTGTGGGCTGTGCGGATGAGAACTGAAGACCAAACCTCTGAAGGACCTAGCGCACCAAGTGTGTGTTGTGTGATGTCATCATATGCTATCACATTCTGTCTGCCTCCCATCCCATATTTTTCAACTTGCATGTGTGGTTTGAACGTGTGCAAGAATTTGTGTGTGATGTGTTCTGGAGTTTGGGAATGTGTTTTGTGTTATTTTGTTTTGTGTTTTACTGAAGATTGCTGTTGGGGAAGAGAAGATGCCGGAAGAAGGCGAAGCACGCGAACGGTGGATTGAGAAAAGCGCGGTGCTTTTCGACCTCATCCTTCAATCGGTCAACAAGGAGATGTTCGAGCACATCAAGGATCTTGTGGAAGCGGATGATTCGGGTCCAAGGGCGTGGAAACTACTACGCGATGTGATTCAGCCCAACACTCTCCCGATGGTGATCGTGCTCGAGAAGGAACTTGCTGCCATCTCCATGCGACCAGGGGACGATGTGAAGCCGGTCCTTGACAAGATCAAGAACACCTATGCAAGGATGGCAGCAGCGGGCAGCAGTGTATCTCAGCTGCAGCAGTGCACCAAGATCATCTCGGTGTTGGACAACTCGTGGGATAACCTCATCCCCACCCTCAACTCTCAGCAAGATCAATGGACACCTGAGTGGCTAAGGCAGCAGATTCTGCAGGAGGACTTCCGCAGACGCCATGTGGGAGGCGGTGCTGCCACTAAGACTGCTGAGGGGTATGGAGCTGCAGGGCGCGGCAGAGGAAGAGGGGGTTGGAAAGGCCGAGGCCGTGGGAGAAGCTTTGGCAGAGGTAGAGGCCGAGGTGACTATAATGAGGGGCATGGGAGCTCCAGTGGCAGGGGGAGTACCAGAATGGAGGGCACCTGCTGGTACTGCAAGAAGGTCGGGCATCCTTGGTTCAAGTGCTTCAGCAGGCTGGAGGGATGGTCACCTCCAGGCATGAAGCCGCCAAGTGGTGAACGCGCACAAGGTGGCGCTGTGCAAGGCTCAGGTGCACAAGGTGAAGGTGCACAAGGTAACGCCTATCCTGGGATGTATCTCATGGTTGAGGATGTGCATGGGCATGAGGGTGATGTGGGATCTGTGGGAAAGGTTGTGATGCACCCTCTCACGCACTGGGTGATTGATTCAGGTTGCACCAGTCACATGACCCCACGGGCAGATTTGCTTGATGAGGTAAAACCCCCTGGGAAGATTAAGTATGTGGCAGCAGCGTCAGGTGCTTTGCTCCCCGTGATTGGTGTTGGAAATGCCAAGGTTAAGGGAGCTAATGGGGAGCTTGTGGGGCTTGGGAATGTTCTGCTAGTTGAAGGTTTGTCTGCTAACCTTCTCTCTGTGCGGCGACTGCAGAAGAGTAAGGCCGAAGTGACCTTTGGACCAACCAGCTGCCGTGCTAAGCTTGGGAAGAAGGTGCTGTGGAGTCTGGAAGAGGAGACCAGCTGCATCAAGGACCTGTGGCAGCTGCCCATCATCCCTTGGAATGGGAAGACTCCAACAGCAGCAACGGCAGCAGCGGCAAAGGCAACAGCAGGAGGAGATGCAACTGCACCAATTGATGGGGTCCTGGAAGCAGTCAAGAAAGTGCAGCAGCAGCAGACACATAGTGAGGTGCTTGCTGGTGTGGATACGAGTGCGGCATGGGCTAAGGCTTCATCAAGGAGTGGAGAGGCCGATTGGGAGACATGGCATGAGAGGCTGTGTCATGTGAACTTTCCTATGCTACAGAAGTTGGTGAAGGATGGGAGCCTGAAGGGCTTGGAGGTGAAAGGGGGAGTGAAGGAGATTGGGAGCTGCCCTACATGCTTGGAGACCAAGTTCTCCAAGTTCCCCTTCAACAGCACTACAGGACCAGCCAAGACCCCACTTGCACTTGTGCACATGGATGTGGTGGGGCCCACAAGAGCCCCTTCCCTCTCAGGCAGCCGCTATTTCTTGACAATTGTGGATGACCACACTCGGGCAGTGTGGGTTTACCCTTTGAACAGCAAGGGGGAGGTGGCAGCGGCTGTCCTTAAGGAGTGGATGCCTAGAGCTCAGAGGGAATGCGGACACAAGGTGAAGGTGATCCGCAGTGACAATGGTGGGGAGTTCATTGGAGCTGATTTTGAGGGGGAGTTGAAGAGGAAGGGGATCCAGCATCAACTGACAGTGCCCTACAACCCGCAGCAGAATGGCGTGGCTGAGAGGTTCAACAGGACCCTGCAGGAGGGGGCACGCACTCTCCTTGGGCGTGCAGGGCTGCCTGATCCGTTTTGGGTGTCTGCATTGAGGCAGGTCGCCCTTGTGAAGAATAGGGTGCTGGCTACAGTTGGGGATAAGGAGTGGATCCCATATGTCAAGTGGTATGGGAGTGCTCCAGCTGTGAACATGCTGAGGGCATTTGGGTGCATGGTAGTGTTTCATGTGCCTAAGGAGAAAAGAGGGAAGTTGGAGGCTTCTGGAAGATGGGGTGTGCACTTGGGGATTGCAAAGGATCACAAAGCGTGGCTGCTATGGGACTTGACCACCCAGAAGCTGACAGTGTCAAGGGATGTGAAGTTTCTTGAGTCCCTGTACTACAAGGAATGGAAGCAGCAGCAACAGAAGCTTCCATCTACACCGCTCATTGTGGAGGTAGATGAGGTGCAGCAGCCTTCAAGACAGGTGGAGGTTGCAGTGTCAGAGGAGGAGATGTCTGGGGTGACTGAGGAAGGGGGAGCAGCTGAAGTAGAGCAGCAGCAGCAGCAGCAGCATGAGTCTCCACCTCGAGTTCCACACCCGCCTGAGCGACCTAGGAGGGATGTGCGCCCTCCAGTGAGGCTGACCTATGGGGGAAGAGGCAAGCCGAATGTGGTGCAGGCTGGGAGTGTGGTTGAGCAGATTGAGGAAGATGAGATTGCATTATGCTATTGGGCTGCAATTCCTCAACCCAAGGTACTGACGCTAGCTTCAACTCAGTGAAAGCGGATGGCACCAGCATTGGGGGATATGTGTGCTTGCTAGGAGGTGGTGCTGTGAGCTGGCGCAGCAAGAAGCAGAATGAGGTGGGATTGTCCTCATGTGAGACTGAGTACATGGCCTTACACCATGGGGCCAAGGAAGTGGTGTGGCTGAGGCGCTTGTTGGAGGAGTTGGGAGTTGGTCAGGAGGAGCCGACAGTTGTGTTCTGTGACAATGAGTCTGCTGTGAAGCTCGCCAAGAATGCTTGTCTGCATGGGCTGACAAAACACATAAGGCCTAAGTGGCATTGGGTGAGGAGACTCCTCAATAAGGAGGTGCGGCTGGAGATAGTGAAGACCCATCAGCAGGCAGCAGATATTTTCACCAAGCGTCTGGCGGAGGCGGATCATTGGAAGGGCATGAAGCTTGCTGGGATGAGTGTGCATTGAGTATGCATGCTTGAGATGTTGGTATGGTGGATGATGGTTGGCAGCCAGAGGGGGAGATTGTTGTGTGATGTCATCATATGCTATCACATTCTGTCTGCCTCCCATCCCATATTTTTCAACTTGCATGTGTGGTTTGAACGTGTGCAAGAATTTGTGTGTGATGTGTTCTGGAGTTTGGGAATGTGTTTTGTGTTATTTTGTTTGAGCAGGTTTTTTGTGATGATAGATCTTGAGAAGATCTTTCCGACGCAACGAGAATCCCTTCAATCGGAGCAAGAACGCGAAAGCTATGAAGATTCAAAGTTCATGAGCTTGCGTTACAATTGCGGCGGTTACTAAGTGAAGTTGTGGGGTGACTTTATATGGAGTTGGGACCTTTGGGGTTGGGGAAACTTGTCACTCTACTGTAACAGCTGCAAATTGGTTGGGAACAACCAAGCTAGGTTGGCAAGGGTGGCCAACTTGGATGGATTGGTTGGGAAGGGACAAATGTCAAAGTTGGGGTTCCTATAGGGAGGGAATCTTTGTGCTTATGGGGTTTTCCTTGGTTGGGGACTCTCTTGGGACCTTCCCTCTCATCCCTCTCTTCCTATCCCAACCTTTCTCTTGCTCCTTCTAATTCCTTGTGAGATTCTTGAACTTTGATTGAACTCTTGAGATTGAGTTAAGTTCTCCTCCTACAGCTTACCCCCTAGTGCGTCGAAAGCCATAGCGTCGCGAATACTTCATCAATCAACGTGATTCAAATTGGGAACGGTAGCTGAGATCAAGAGCTACAACATATCCAAGTTTCGCGACATTCCAACGGCTAGTGTTTTGTCGACGTCGTTTCTTGTGAAGACGACTTTTCTGTCCAGAATTTCGGATTTATATTTTGAGTAATTCTAGCTCCTAAGTTCACCTAGACTCTGTCCTTAATCCTAACAGTGTGACTGTGTAAGAGTGATGGTGCGCGCTGATCTGTCCCTGGAGATCTGAACGCCAAGGTAGTGGCGCAGCTCTCCCAGATCAGTGCAGGTGTGTCTCCTCAGAAGCTCAGCCTTCACGGAGGCCAGCGCATCTCTGTCTACACTAGCAAAGACCAGGTCGTCTACATAGAGAAGGATGTAGAACGGAGTCTGGCCAGCACGAACGAAGAGCGAAGGGTCAGCAGAGGACGGAAAGAACTGCAGGTCACCTAGCGTAGCACGCAGTGTGTCGTGCCACTCACGGGGCGTCTGTCGCAAGCCGTAGACAGGGCGCTAGAGGAGCCACTGGGTCCCAGAAGGGAAAGTACCAGTGAAGCCCTGAGGGCGGCGCAGGTAGACCTGCTCGTGTAGGCTGCCGCGAAGGAAAGCAGTGGAGAAGTCGAGGGAGTGAAGCTCATACTCACGATTTGCTGCTACGTATAGTAGCGCCCGAAGAGTAGTCATCTTCAGGGTCGGGGTGAAGGTGTGAAAGAAGTCCACCCCCTCTCGCTGACTGAAGCCTCTAGCCACGTAGCGCGCCTTGAACACAGGCTGCTCTCCAGGGGGGCGCTTCACCGTGAAGAGCCACCAGCCATCGACTACGTTCACCCCAGGTGGGGGATGTGAGAGTAAGACACCGTTACATTAATCTCCCCTTTCCATATTTCCTTTCTACTTCATTCATTTTTCACTCCTGATTCATTTGGAATTTATCTCATCTCATTTGGTTTCCTATTCCTCCTTTTCCATTATCCTTTGGTTTATCCTGTTATTATAATTATATCACCGACCAGGCTCAGGATGTACTGGCGCGCTATATCTAGCGTAATCCTGCCATAATCCCTTAAAGCCAATAGCCTTGCGTGGCTATACGCAAGGTGATTCTATTTCTAGAAGGGTCTATTCCCTTTGGATAGGATAAACCTGGTTACCTGATGTATTATGGAAGTATAAAAGCACCTTGTACTGATTGATAGTGCAACATTGAGCAAATCTTTCCTCGACACATTCGATCCTGTGACAGGGGAACTGCGTCAATGTAGGTGCCGGTAGCCCTCCAAGATGCCATCTCCTCCTCCATGGCAGCTATCCAATGGGAGGCCCAGGGTCCCGAGGTGGCCGCAGCATAGGTGCAAGGGGTCGGGATGTCAAAGACGTCGGGGTCACCCTCAGGGACTAGCAGCATGGAACAGAGATAGGGAGTAGCCTCAGACAAGAAAGCAAACTCGTACTGTCTGTCCTCTAGGACGTCATTGCCCAGGGCAGAAGCACCCCCGACGGACGGAGGGCACACAGGGTCAGAGACTAGAGCAGTGGCGTAGTCAAGGCGGCGGGTAGAGGCGAAGGCAGCGACATCAGCGACAAGAGAGGCCAGACAAGAGACAGGGACAGACGGGTCGGTAACAAGGGAGGCAAGGACCCGAGGAACAAGAGGACGAGCCGCACAAAGGTAGTCAGAGAGAGGGGGAGGCACGACAGTGAGCGACGATGGAGGAGGCGAAGGCAGGAGGGGAAGAAGAGACACGTGGGAACGAAGCAACATAGGGTGGGAATGCTGAACAGGAGAGGCAGGACGAGCACGAGAGGGGCGGCGAGACCCGACGTGAAACGAAGGCGTCGGGTCAGGAGACAGAGGAGGAGTAACAGGAGGCGAACGAGAGGGGAAACGAGCCAGGGACGAGTCCGGCGGAGGAAACACAGGACCATGAATAGGAAGAGGGGGAGACGGCGAGGGTGGCGCAGGCGAGCGGTCAGGGGAGGGAAGGCCGAGCAGGCGAAGGGCGGACACGGGCAGCGACTGCTGCTACTGCTGCTCAACGCCGACACCTGGACCACCAGCTGCACCATTGCTACCTCCGGTACACTCCACGCCACCACCCCTAGAACGAGAAACGTCTCCAGCGCCGGTGCCACCCTCGAGCCCGCCGGGACAAGCCACGACAGGAGCCCTATGACTTGCACCCTCTCCAACTCCAGCACCCCCAGACTCCACGAACGGCTGCCGTTCCGGCGACGGCTATGGCTGCGGTGGCGGTGACGGCGGCTGCGGCGACTGTGACGAGGGAGGACGAGACACCGGGGGAGGGACAGGCGGCGCAAATTGCACCGCGGGGCCACCAGAGTCAGCCGACTCCTCGACCGGGACAACCGACGGGAAGGGAGTGACGTGAGACACACCAGACGGAGCAGGACGGGGAGGGAGGGGAGCAAGGGCGACCGGGGGACTGGGAACCAGAAATAAGGGGGGGGGGAACCAGGAGATCTCGGTGAGGAAAGCGGTGGAAAAAGGAGACAAACTCGTCGAAAGTGACGTCACGGGAGTGAGTGAAGCGGTGAGATGGCGGGTGGTAGAAGTGCCGGTCGGACGAGTCAAGGGGGAAACCGAGGAAGACACAGGGGACGGTGCGGGAAGTGAGCTTATCTGTGCCGGAGGCACGAACGTGAGCGAGGCAGCCCGAGACGTGGAACGCAGACGCGTCACCAGGGAACACGGTCGAAAGAAGGGTCGGCGAAACCTGCGGCCGCTGACAGCGAGGCCACAGGTTAAGCTGGTGAGAAGCGTAGCGAACGGCAAACGGCCACAGAAAACGGGGTGCACCGGCATGGATCACGGAGGTACGAGCCACCTCCATGACCAAACCGATGCGTTGCTCAACGACCCCATTCTGCTGCGGGGAGTCCGGAAGGGTGTGCGTCTGGGTGATACCCTCCGCACGACAAAACTGACCCAGCCGACCAGAGGCGAACTCGCCGCCACGGTCATAGTGGAGGCATTGCATAGGGAGACCGCAGTGGAGGCGCGCAGCAACGAGCCACGGGATAAGAATGTCAGGCACGTCGGCCTTCCGCTCTAGGGGAAACACCGTGGTATAGCGCATGAAGTCGTCAACGAGAACAAGAAAGTAGCGCTCGCGACGCGGTCCAGGGACAGGGGCTGGGCCCCAGACGTCCAAGTGCAGGGTCTGAAGGGGTGCAGTTGCAGGGCGAAGTGAGGAGTGAGGAGCACGGCGTAGCCGGCCCTCGATGCAGGGCGTGCACGGCGGCGGATGCGAGAGAGGGAGAGCAGGGAGGCCGAGGACTAGACCGTGCAGAGACATGTGACGCAGGCATGGGAGCGCGGGGTGACCTAGGCGGTGGTGCCACAAGAGTGACGGGTGAGTGAGCGACCGACACGAGCAGGCCGCAGCTTCCTGGGTGGACGCAGGATCGGAAGAGGACTCGCTCACCGGGGGCGGAGCAGTATCCAGCGTAAACAGGCCAGATACAGGGTCCCGGGGGAACGTCGCAAGGGGGGCACCTGAGGCAGTCTCGGTACAGATCGCGTATCGCTCGTAACCAGGGAACGTAATGGTGACGCCGAGGTCATGAAGACAGCCGACACCAACTAAGTTCCTGGAGAACGAACGGATGTGCAGGCCTGTAAGGGAACCCGAGGGAACTGCCGGACAGGGAAGGGTAGTGTAGCTGCGAGCAACTACACGACCTGAGGAGGGGTCTGCAAGGGCAACAGCTGTAGGTGCAGCAAGCATCGTGAGGGCGGCGTGGTTGCGGAACAAAGAGGCTGACGCACTGGAGTCTAGAGTGAAGGACAGCAACGACATAGTGGGAAACGACGGAGGAGCAAGGGTAGAGCCTAAGCTAGACAAAGCAAGCTGTCCTATGCCTGACGCAGCAGGGGAGTCTAGAATACACACAGGTGGTACGCGTAAGCTAGAGAACACAGAGTAATACGATCCGGAAACACTCGAAGCGTCAGCATACAGAGAATGCAGGGAAAAACTAATTTGATCCATGTCTAAGTCAAACATAGGCACACCGTGGCGCAGCAGGCTGGGCCAGTCAAGGAGGTCCGGGGCTGGACCAAAACGGCGATGGAAGAGGTCGTCGAGGCGGTGGAAGCATCGGGCGGTCGGGTGCGAGCGGCGGCACACCGTGCCACGCAGGGGCCCGGTCTGAAGCTGGTACTGGCAACTTACAGCACTGAAGCTGCCGGTGGACGCCGAGCTGCGAGGGCCACCACTACGACCACCACCGCCAGGGGTTCCCAGCCACCCTAGCGCGAGACGAGCCCACGGCTGCTGCTGCTGCTGCTACTGTGACGGCTGCTGCGGCTGCGACGGCTGCGGTTGCGACTGCGGCTGCAACTGCGGTGACTGCTGCTGCTCCTGGGCACAAGCACCAACCCACTCGTCAGAACCACTGTCCCCACCACCACCACCACTGGTGCCACCTCCACGTCCTCCCTTCAGGCCACGGCGGCTTCGGCGCTGGCGCTGCTGCAGGTAAGCCGCAGCTGCTGTCTCAAGTGCAAGTGCAGTCGTGGCTAATGCAGCGAAGACGTTAGCGTACGTGCATCTGGAGGGGGCACAGCCCCGAAAGATAGGGACTGCCGCAACACCG